TCATGAGGGAAGTTAACAGGTTACAGTCATTGGTCCAGAGCAACACCCCTCCCCAGCCAGCAGCCAAGCCCACCTGCTGCTCTGTCTAACAGGTTTATAATCTAGATCAGCAGTTCTCAACCTGTGGATCATGACCCCTCTGGGGGTCAAATGACTCTTTCACAGGAGTCACCCGATTAAAACAGTAGCAAAATTAAAGTGATGAAGTTGCAACAAAGACAATTTTATGGTTGGGGGGGTCACCACAACATGTGGAACTGTATTAAAGGGTCACAGCATTAGGAAGATTGAGAACCACTGGTGTAGATGCTGCTCCTCTGCTCTGTCTCATGATCTCCTTGCCTCAAACTGCTCTTGGCGTGGCATGGCCTCTGCTGTCTCCGCCACTTCAGACAGGGATTTCAGATGTGCTCCACTGGAGGTTCTTCTTCCTGCGTGGTCCCAGGACTTCTTCCTGTTCCTGCTTCTAAGATGCCGCATTAGTCAGGAGTGTGGCAAAACTGACCAGTGCAGAGTTAGAGTCCTCTACACCTTATTTCCAACAGTAGATGGAAAAGATGGACTTGGTGATAGACATGAAGCTGGAGATCGCATGAATGATTTTTGCAAAACCAACAACTTGTTCATAGCCAATGCCTTTTCTCAAGAATACAAAGGCACCTATCCACATGGACTCCCCCAGATGGAATGCACAGAAATAGAGCTGGCAGTATCTGTGGGAAGACACACTGGAGAAAGTCAATATGCATAGCTAAAACCAGACAAGGAGCCGCCTGTGGCAAAGACAACCCATCATACATATGTAAGTTCAGGGTAAAACTCAAGAAAATGAAACCAAGTCCATGGGAGCCAAAATACAACCTCGAGTCTACCCTATCTGAATTGTGAGGACATCTCAAGCACAGATTTGAGGCAGTGGACACTCATGACAGAAGATCTGAGGAGCTGTGGGAGGACATCAAGACCGTTATTCATGAAGAAAGCAAAAGGTCCTTAAAAAGAGGAAAGAAAGAAAAGGTCAAAATGGATGTCAAAAGAGACTCTGAAACTTGCTCTTAATCGTGGAGTAGCTAAAGCAAATGGAAGAAAGCATGATGTCAAGGGGCTGAGTAGAAAACTTCAAAAGGTAGCTCAGGAAGACAAAGTCAAGTACTCTGATGCCAGGTGTAAGGACCTAGAAGGAGAAAACTGAAAGGGAAGAACGTCCTCAGCATCTCTGAAATGGAAAGAACTCAAGAAAACATTCAAGCCTTGAGTTGCAATTTTGAAAGATTCCATAGGCAAACTATTGAATGATGCAGGAGCTGTCAAGAGAAGATGGAAAGAATACACAGAGTCACTGTACCAGAAAGAACTGATCGACAGTGTACCATTTCAGTAGGTAGCAAGAACCGATGGTGCTAAAGGAAGAAGTTCAAGCAGTACTGAATGCATTAGCCAAAAACAAGGCTCTAGGATATAATAGAATACCATTGAAAATGTTCAGAAAGCTGAAGAAACACTAAAAGCACACACTCATCTATGCCAAAAAAAAAATTGGAAGTCAGTTACCTGGCCAACTGACTGGAAGAAATCCATATTTGTGCCCATTCCACAAAAAAGGTAGCCCAACAGAATGCTCAAACTATAGAATGATATTATTGACATCGTTGATATAGATACAAGTAAAATTTTACTTATGATCATCCAACAGTGGTTACAGCAGCACATTGAAGGAGAACTGCCAGAAGTTCGGGCCAGATTCAGAAGAGGTCATGGACCAAGGAATAACATCGCTGGTGTCCGATGGGTCTTGACTCAAAGCAGGGAATGCCAGAAAGATGTTTACTTCTGTTGCATTAACTGTGCAAAGACATTCGACTGTGTGGACCATAATAAACTGTGGGTAACCCTGAGAAGAATGGAAATTCCAGAACACTCCATTGTGCTCATGAGGAACTTGTTCATGGAGTAAGAGATGAGAACAGAACACAAGAATAGTGCATGGTTTAAAATCAGGATCAGTCTGTGGCAGGGCTGTGTCCTCTTACAACCTGTCCTGTTCAATCTGTGTGCTGAGCAAGTCATCAGAGAAGGTGGATTATCTGAAGAGTGTGGCATCAGGATTGGAGGAAGGCTTATTAACAACCCAGGGTGATATGCAGATGACACAACCTTGCTTGCTAAAAGTGAGGAGGATTGAAGTACTTACTGATGAAGATCAAGGATCGTAGCCTGCAGTATGGATTATAACTCAAGGCAAGGAAGACCAAAATCCTCACAACTGGACCCATAATAGCATCATGATCAATGGATCAAAGATTGAAGTTGTCAAGGATTTTGTCTTACTTGAATCCACAATCAGTTTTTATGGATGCAAGAGATCAAAAGAGATGTTGCATTAGGTAAATCTGCTGCACAAGACCTCTTTTTTAAAATCATTTTATTGGGGGCTCATACAACTTTTATCACAAGCCATCCATCCATCCATTGTGACAAGACCTCTTTAGAGTATTCAAGAGAAAGGAAGTTTTTTGGAGAACTGAGGTGAGCCCGACCCAAACCATGGTGTTCTGCATTGCATCACATGCATGTGAAAGTAAAACATTGTAGAAGGAAGACCACAGAAGCATTGTGATGCTAGAGAACAATATTGAGAGTATTGTTAAAGGACAAACAGATCTGTGTTGGAAGAAGTAAGACTAGACTTCGTCTTACATACTTTGGACATATTGTCAGGAGAGACCAGTCTCTGGAGAAGGACATCGAGTTTGGGAAAGTAGAGGGGAGGAGAAAAAGAGGAAGGCCTTTGCCAAGCTGTATTGACCCAATGGGATTGACAGCAATGGGTGCAGGCATAGGAACAATTGTGAGGACAGCGGGACCGTGCAGTGTTTCCTTCTGTTGTGCACACGGGTCATTATGGGTTGGAACAGACCTGATGGCATGTAACAACACGTTTTATTTGCATGACCCCACCCAATCATTTGGCTATAAAGAAATGGATAGAAGAGTCACATTAAAAAATTTCACTCCTCCTTGTGCAAGGAGTTGGACAGAGGCCAGCCACCTTGCACCATGTTGAGGTTAAGCCAGGCTGCTCAGGACCTGAAGAAGCCGGAACATGGTGGGGTGATCTGGACCATTGTGTAGGTGGGCCAGGCCACGGCCATTTCCCAACCAGTTCTGCAAGGAGTTCAATGAAAAGATGAAAAATATCAAAGAAGGCATTCCTCTGCCTGCCAAGATTTTGTGACTCTGACAGGACATTTGAATTCAAACTTGGCCAACCCACTGTTTCCTACTTTCTGTAGGCAGCTGCTGGGCTGGAGAAGGGCTCCAGGAACACAGGCAAAGAGGCATTCAGGCCTGGTGGCCTCGAAGCACTTAAATGAGACCCCCCAAGTCAAACCTCAGGACGTCGTCTTCGCCCTACAGGATGTGCCCCTGTCCTCCATTGTCCGTTCCTCATTGGCTCTGCTCGTTCTCTGGTGAATTACCTCAGTTCAGAGGAGATGGCAGCTTTCCAGAAGGAGCGAGCTGTGTTCCTGGATGCTCAGAAAGAGGCAAACTTGGCAGTCCAGGCAGAAGCTGCCAAAAAGTGACCCTGTCCTCCACAACCCGGCACTTGGAAGGGAACCACTGGGCAGGGGGCTGGAGAAAAGGCTGTGCCAAGTTTCAGGAGGGAGAGTGCTCCTGACTACTAGTTCCCTGGTTTTAAATATGCATTATTACACCAGTGGATGGATTGCGGACCAAGCCTACATAAATATCTTTGGTTAGCACCCCAGCCCTGCAACAAAAAAAAGAGGAATTTTCACTTTAAGAAACTCAGATATAGTAAAAACTGGGAGGGCCAGAACTTATTTTTCAAGTCTCACTAGTCCCCAATCTTTTGTAGGGGACAATGCTGTCTTATTCCTTTCCTACTACTCCTTTCTGTGGATCTAGTTTTCCTACATTTGAGTTTTCCCTCCCTGACAGGCGTCTGCTTTTCCCAGGTTCTGGTGTCACAGGGTCTACTGGACACATTTCACAAGGAAAAAAAAGTAGTCACTGTAGGACAAGACACGGCGTCAACTCCACGTGTCTTTCTTTTTTGTTGTTGTTGTCATTAGAACAACTCAGCGAAACTCAATTTATGGCTAGACAATATTGTTTCTCATCCAGCAAACAAAAAAATGAAAAGCAACTTGATGGGCAAAAACGGGAGAAGAATGCTTTCATCTTTGGTCTTTTTAACAAGCTCATACAAACCAACTAGTAAGTTCTTATTTTTTAAAAGTTACTGAAATGTTAAGATTAAATTGAATATTTTTATTGTTGCTTTTCCTTTCCTTTTCATATTTTTTTAAAAAGAAGACTCTTTTTCTTCTTTGAGATTAAAGTTGAGCCTTGAAAAACTCAGGGATTAGGGATATTGACCATTGTGCCTTTGAAAATCTGAATAAAATGTGACTCCCCCAAACTTTAACTATCAATAGTTTTCTGTTGACTGGATGCCTAACAAAAAGCATAAAAGTCTATGAACACGTATTCTATATGCCAGATGTACTAGATACTGTACCTGCATAAAAGCTATTGGACCATGCATGATACATCAGTAGCTGATATGTGTAGGTATGCTGACAAGGGGGTATAGTTGATTACTTGATGTACCACTTGCCTTCAAGACCTCTCACCTGGGACCCCGTGTGTGTCAAAGTACAATTGTGCTCCATAAAGTTAAAAAGGTTGATTTTTTTCAAAGTATGAGGGGACTTGATAAAGTTTGTGAGAAAATGGAATTAAAAGATAAAGATAATGGAATTTTCCCACAAATTTTTGGAAGCCCCATTTGTAGATTCCCAAGCCTTTCTTCTGTGGTACCCCTAATTGGACTTGAACTTGCAACATTTTGGTTAGCAGGCCAACGCATTAACCCTGGGACCCCTTACTTGGTGTAATAGACTTTGAATTACAGTCCTAGTTGGCACTCTTCATGACAGAAGACAAACCAGTTACACTTTCCACAGGTGGATTTTTATTTTTAGCCCTTGACCTTGACCTCTGGCATCTGGGCCTGTCGCTGGCAGGTTTGTGGTTGCTTAGGGATATGACTAAGGGATTTGCTTTTGGGGTTCTCCATCACCACCCTCTCCATTTATCATTTATGTAGCATCTTTGGGGCAAGGTTCAAGACAGAAAAGAGAGTCGGTGGGGGTGGGAGGGTGTCACACCCACTAACTGCCTGCCTGGCTTTTCTGTACACAGTTGAGATACTCCTGCACGTCGTCTGGAGATCCCAGGATGAGAGGGACTCGCTGATGAATGGCCTCCGGCTTCACATCCAGCACTGGCTGTGTGCCTGTGGTCGCTAAGCCTCCAGCCTGCTCAATGATGTAGGCCACTGGGTTGCACTCATACAGGAGTCTGAGCTGTGGAGACAGAAACAGGGATACACGGACCAGCTTTGCAAGTGGCTCTAAGTTCCAAGCCATGCTTCTAAAGCTGAGGAGGGCTCCCAGCTCCTGATTCACCTCCTTAGCATGGGTGTGCTTATACATCTCTCGGACATGGACCACCTGAGTCCAAGACACAGGACAGACAAGAGCGGGTGTTGCTCATCACATATGCCTCTGGAGTCACCTGGAGTCAGGTGTCTATGACCTGGTTCTACCTGCCTTGTGCTCTTTCAGCTTCTGGGAAACCTGCCTCTTGTCTTGGAAATAAGCGAACCATGAACCTCTTTCTCAATAGTTCAGCTATGAAGCAACCGATTCTGCAGATGTATCTAATATACTAAAAAGAAAAACCAGCAGCCATCAAATTGATTCTGACTCATGCTGACACTAAAAGATGCACTCACCCTCACCTTCTGACTCTTAGAAGAGTGAGCAGAAAAGCCCCAGGGCACGTAGGTCCCCTTAAATCAGCTAATTTTGTCCCTGGCCATCTAAGTGAGGGACACTCAGAACTATATGGTTTGGGACAACTCAGTAGGGCTTAGAGGGACCCAAAACTCAACAGCAGGCAAACCTGTAAGAGACAAACAAACAAAACACAGCTGTCCTTGAATCGGCTCTGACCCATGGTCAGCTCCAGTGTACCTGCGCAGAACTGGACTTCATGAGGATTAGCATGGCTGGTCCTTTGGAAGTAGATTGCCAGATCTCTCTAGCAAGGTATCTCAAGGTGGACTTGAACCTTTTAGTTAGCTTCCTAGTATGTTTGCCACTTGTACCCCATAGGGATGGATGACCAAGGTAGAACTTTGCTCTTTCCTTGCTCTGGGACTCAAGGTGATAAGGATTTAAGGTCCCAGGTGGTATATCTCAGATAGAAGCCCATTTGCTTTTGTTTGCACCATATCTTATCAGGGTTTTGCTTTTAAACCTCAGTTTTCAGAGAAGTCACATGAAACTTCTCATGACCCACATCACTTGGATGTGATTGTCACTGCCTTTCCTGTAGTAAACCATGTTAAAACCAAGCAGCCAGGTCTTCTGGGACCTCAGCCTCCAAGTCTCCACTCGGTTTTTCTGCAATAAAAATGGACACTGCTATTTGGACAAGCAGAGCATAATCAGGAGAACTCAAGTGAATCTGTGTGTACACGCCCACAAGCACATACGGCAGAGCACACACTCCTGAGCGCACAGCGGTGCAGTCACAGGGAGCAGGAGCACTAGGACAGGGAGAAAAGAAATGGGTGGTACTTTCAATACATGGGTGGTTGCAGTGCCATCAACAGAAATGTAGATGTTCAGTTATACTTGCCTACTGGCAATGCTTATGTAATTATATGTGAATAGTTTCTGGCTCATTTACAATCATTTAAAGAGTTGCTCTTAATAACCTCCTCTTAATAGCGTAGGTGGCAAAAGTGGACTATTAAGGAATTTCTACCTCTTTGATTTGCAATCACTTTGTAATATTCCCCAGGACATGGCTTCCTGTTTGTACTTCTCGGGCAGAATTCTCTGTGATGCTTAGTTCAAGAGGTTAATTAATATACATGAGTGAAACACACGGCCCAACAGCACTCAAGAACACCAACAAGGTGCATAAACAACAACAAGCATTCCCCTAAAGAGGGATGCCTAATATGCTACATCTTCTCTCTGGCCTACTGTCCATGCTGGATTTCTTGTTGTGGCCGCACTGAGAGCTGAAGTCACCTATGGCAGAGAAAGTCTTCGGAATTTTTCCCCTTAATTTGGCCACTGACATCATTTCTGTGACTGGCTGAAAACCAGACACGTTTCCAAGGATAGCCCCGTCCACGATAGAAGGCTAGTGAGTGTTCCATGGACAGGGCCGTTTGCCCTCCTGCTGGCCCTGCTCTTGGCGCCCCATGGATGCCTGTCGACCAGTGCTTTGCGGGGTTTTCAGTGGCTGCGTTTTCAACATGCAGATTACCAAGCCTTTCCTCGGAGGGTGGAATTGAGCTTCCACTATTTCAGTTAGCAGATAAGCACATTAATTATTTGCGCTTCCCAGGGATTTCTCCCTCTTTCATAATATAAATATTTTCAGTTTGG